AAGCTGAATGTAACACTTCAAGGAAACCAGATGACTGAATTTCATGGGCAAGACAAGAACAATCAACTATCGAATGGCCATCAAGCTGCAGATGGTGTTCCCACAGATCCCATTCATTACACCATATACAGTAGTCGTTTCAGGCTGAGGTCTGTCGGTCTATTTTCAGCCCCACTGCATTTGAGGCGGTAGTTGTGTGGTCTCAAGGTCTTAAGGGGTCAGTGGATATGACTTTTAAGGCTTAAAGCAGCGTGCCGCCCTTGTAGAAGGAAATGAGCCTCTCCCTTGGCTCTGTTTGTCAAGAGCAACAGGCCACCTGGGAATCTGCTGATTCCCACGCTCTCTATCAGGGTTTTTTATCTGGACCAATCAGGCAGAGAGGTTCGGCCATGGGGTGCTCACACGCCTCCCTGTTTTTCCCAAAATAAGACCCACTCAGGTTCCTGTACACAGCAATCCAAAGCTGATTTAAAGCTGGTAGAGCAGATTGACATGTGAACGTTCAACTTCTGTGTTTAATTATTAACGCAAACTGCAGTGAATGTCAAGAAGAATAGCGTTGCTTTTTCTGTCCGCTGAGTGCTTCTGCAGGTTTTAAATCCCACAGAAACAACTTGTATTTACCAAGGGGCTCTTATATAAGCACTCTTGCATTCTTGAGTGAAAAATCGGAACAAAACAACCCATGGAGGTCGAAAGTTTCTTGCAATTACCTCAGGCACCACAATTTTGTTGCTTTCACATGCATACATGGATTTTTGAAGGCCACAAACACGTCACTGGAACAGAAGATGTACAATGCAAGGCTTCCTTGGAGAAAACAAGGAGCTATTAGACATCCAAGTGGCAGACATCCTGTCTTCAATGGAAAGCCACTCAAGCCTGGTTTAATGCTCTCCAAACACGCCAGGACAGACAAGTCCTCAAGTGCGGATGATGAGTCAGCGGCCCTTTCCACTCTCTCTTTTGCTCACGCGCGTCATCAGTGGCCTTTTAACTGGGCAGAGATGTGAGTTGTTTTATTAGATTGGGCAGCTTTACCAGAAGCCTGATATTTATAGCAGCACAGAAGTCTTGCAACTATTGTCACTTCCTCCTCCTCTGGGGGGGCCGGATGGGCTCGAAGCAGACGTCCTCAGCGAGGCAGACATCCCCTTTTAGCTTTATTGTATCTATTTGAGGAAGCCATTGTGCCAAGTTCTGGCAACTGTGAAGGATTTTAGATCAATTGTTCATGTTGAAAAACGTTTCAAGGTCAAGATCACAGCACTGTGAACGAAACCTACTGACTGAGCTGCACAGATTGTCTTATTTATTGTGAGCAAAAAGGATTGTCTCTTTTTGCTTTGATGTCTCTTTGCTCTGCATGAAGAAGTCCCTCCTCTGAGCTTCAGTAAGTTGAAAAGGTGCAGATAAACCAGGAGGAGAGCAAAAACGCTCGGCATCTCTGAGCCGGCAAGGTCACCCAGTTCCTAATTTCATGTTGGATCAAAGCAGATAATACAAATCAATAGGCCGAACCACAAAAAAGGGCCTGCAAGGGTCATATATATCAGGATTAAGTTCATATATCAGAAATGCACAAATTGGACGGCTTAACTCCAGTGATTCTCCTCCTCCTTCTCCCACCTCCTCAATGGGATGAAAACCAAGTTCACCGGAGCGTCATTCATCTCCAAAGAAGCCAAAGTCTCGTGTGTAAAGTTACAGTCCTCATTTATCTGGCTGGCTTAGACAGTGAATAATGGAAACAATAAAAAGCGCAGAGTGTCATGAGGAGTGTGGGTGATTTACTGGCGATCACGTTTCATGTTCCAGTGGAGCAGGCTAGCTCCCACGGGAGAGCGTGCTGTTTTGTAAACACACAAATGCTGCTGACGTAATTTGAATATTTATGAGCCTTAAGGGTATAATCTAACGTCAAAAACGGTTTCTCCCCTTTCAGTTCAGTCCAATGAAGGTACACTGCCAAGTTTGAAACCTGGGTCTTAACATGAGACTCAAAGCAAAAGCTAATAAAAGGTTTCCCGTTTCTCTTCTTTCAAGGTCGGAATTAACATTTTGTTCTCGTTTTCATCAGAAAGGCTTATATAAATCAGTAGTTCATATGTTGTCTAGGGATGTTAAAGGCTGTTTATTCATTGGTTGTGCAGGAATTTATTATATTCAAAGGTCTGAAGGATGTAAAAAAGTCAAGTTTTTCTAAAGCTATTGTGACTTTCTGACTATTTTATATAGAAAATATCCACTTGTATCTCATGTTATTGTATAAGTTGAAAATGACTTTCAGTACTGCTTGTTCTTTTATGTAAAAGATCAAATGTTTGAGTTGAAGAATTATGCGTCTCTCTAACGAGGGTTTCAGAGGTGGATAATGTCTCCCGAGCAGTTTTATGGCTCTCTGGGCTAACATGAAAAATACATCATGAAATGAATTATTATACACTGGGTGGGGGCTGCATTTTATAATTATTTTCTTTATGGATTATTCTGCTGATTATTTTCTTGAGTAATTGGTCATACAATGTAAGAAAATACTACAAACTGCTCATTACAAGATCTCATAGCCCAAGTGGGCTTCCTAATATGACGTGTTACCATCCAAACAACGGTCCCAAACCAGAAAATATTCATAGAAAGCAGGAATTCTTGACATTTTAAATGCTGGAAACAATAAACACTTGTGATTTAAGATGTACTATCAAGGACGCTTCTCAGACATTTTGATAGCCTGATCCAGTAAAAGTGTGTCTAGTGTTTGGCGTGCTTTCCAGATTTGTACAGCTTTCCACTCAGTGTGTCTTCATCACTTGGCTGCAAGGTTGTTGTTTCCAAGTATTGCAGTATTGTCACAGTGAAGTGAAGGGCTCAGCGTCCTCAGCTCGAAGCTGTTTGGCCGTGCTGACACAGGGGGATTCTCTGGGTAATGAGTATTGCAACAAACTCCTCCGTCATCTAATTTTTGCCGGGCCAGTCGATGGATGACCCTTCAGATCGAATCTGACCTTGCTGCCAGACGAAAGGTTGCTGTCCTGTCACCTATTCTGTCTGGAGACGGGTGGTTCTTTTCTTGCATCCGTGTATGAATACATGAATACAAGTGATGATATACGGACATAAAAGAGAGAGAGAGAGATATTAGTGGATATTTGGATCAAAACAGATGGATTACAAAGGACATTAATGCCTTCCTTGCATTTTTGTTCGATCTCCAATTACTCTCCCTTGGATCCTGAAAAGGGGGTTTTGTTTGACTTTAATTAGCGGCGCAGAAAACTGCAAGAAGCTCATTAGAAAATCAAAGACGGCGGCAGCAGCAAGATCAGCGTATGCAATATCATAAGTACGTTACTATGTGAATGCTTTGGAAATAAACAGAGCGTGGGGAGAGGCTCAGTTCAGGGGTAAATAGCGGTCCCACACAGGCACTTTAATTACAAGTTGAACTTTAACCCACATCCCTTTCTCTGAGTCTCAGTCTGCCCGCAATCACCGACAGAAACAAAAAAACGTTCCAAAACAAAGATGATGGCCTTATCATTTTTTCTATTTTGGCAAAGTGCTGCTTGGGATTCTTAACGCCGCCAAGTGAACAAGTTGACTCATTATTTTCCACACAAGTCAAGCAATCATTGCCAAAAGCAGAGGGAGACCCAAAGGAACTGGAAAATGTTTGGCATCTCCTGTTAGCCTTAAGATAGCAGAAGGCCATCCGGGGAAGACAACAGTCTAACATCTCTTTGTGTTCATGAGAAGACACTGAGCAAAAACCCAAAGGTCTATCATGTGAAAAGCAAATCAGAGGTCGAGGACAGGCTCTCCCCGCTGGTGGGAAAAGCAAATCATGTGTGAAGCTTCCAGTCAGTGTAACCATGACACTCAGGCAGCCAGTTGCCACCCCATGGCTGAATATGGGATCCTCTCAAGTCTGCCTTCTTTACTCTGTTAGCGTTTCTCAGAGGGATTCATTGTGTGCTGTAAACCTGGCTAGGCCTTCTCCCTTTGGATTCTTGGCGGCTGTGACCTTTATAAAGCCATTGATCCAACAAGTGAATACTTTGGAGAACTGCAGCCTGGACTTTATTTCCCAGAAGCACACCTGCTGTTGGTGGCAGATGGATTGCTTCAGGGCAGCGAGTTTAGTTTTTTTTTTAGGATTATCGAGTCTTTTGTTGACGTGATCAGTGCAGATGTTTTGTCCTTTCCTGTCCTGCTTTGCCAGCTGCTTATTATCATTTTCTTCAAAGGCTCATTTGTGTCCATAATGACAGTCTATACAGAAAGAGAAGTAAGGAGAGGAAAGGGAAAAAACTGAAAGTACAGAGGTTTGTTTTTCACATGGCTGTGGAGCACTGCTTCCTAACGTGTGGTTGAAAAAGTTCCAGGAGCATGCCTCAGTCTCATGATATCCACCTGACACTCTCCCTCCCTCCCTCCCTCCCTCCCCTATCTGTACTCGACTCTCCCCAGGGTCAGTCTGGAGTTATTACCTCCTGTGTCCTTGTGGAATTCTTTCAAACATCCATCACCGCTCTTATGAACCTCTTACTGTAATTGGCCAGCTTTTGTTTCAGACTTAAATAGAAGCTAATCTATGCCTACAGTCTGGGACATATTGAGGACACCAATCATGAGTTTGCCATTTTGTATGTCCTCGCTAGCGGTCAGCCACATGCACTTGCTGCTGGGCCGTTGGCTGGTTTGTGTTTTGGCCTGAGCAAACTGTTATTTGTTTGCAGTAGGTGGAACAAAATACAAAAAAAGGGAGGCAGTGTTTTGCCAGCTAACACATTCCCCTCAGCTGGAGGTCTGAATGAAGAGCTTGTTCTCTAATTAATACCTGGATCCTGGAGAGGAGGAGGGAGGAAGGAAGGGTATCATCACTGAAAGACAGGGCTTGTTCACATGGCTCCAAAATAAAGCCATCTGATATGTTGTGCTCTATTTACAGATTGGTAGTGCAGCAACAATGAACAATCAGAGCATTCAGTTTGTTAGACAGACCGTCAACAGTTCCACCTGACTGCTGCTTACATTTACCTTGTCACCTCCTCACAATACATACAGAAAGCTAATTAACAAGATTGTCACTTACATTAGGGATAATATGAAGCCTATAAATCAAGGAATTAGACTGCTAATTGAAATACATTTGTATATGAAATGTCACAGGGATAATTGAATATATCATATCATATTGTTTCTTATTGTATCGGTGGTAACACAGTTTTGGGGTGTAGCCACTATGCTATTGGCAATGCTCAGGGGATAGCAATGACAAGTATCTCAAAAACAGATGGATTGCCATGACATTTTTACAGATATTCATGGTCCCCTAACAATAAATCCTAAGAATTCTGGTGATCCCTGACATGTCCACTAGCGCTATCATTTGTGCTTTTGAGTAAAATATCTCAGCAAATACTGGATGCATTACAATGACATTTAGTTCAGACATTCTTCTTCCCCTCAGTATGAATTGTAATACCTTCGGTGACTGTTAAAAACTAATGATATCCCCATCAGCCTCACAGCTGTGTGTTTATTGCTTCTTGTGTTTGCATGCTAACCTCATACCTGTCTAGAATTAATGTTTAGCGTTGCCACTGTGTGAGAATGTTAGCAGGTTGATGTTAGCATTAAGCACAAAGCACAGCTGACTTCAGTGTAACAGAGCTTGCCAACATTACTGTAGACTCTTGGTCTGTGTTTTAGCCCTGGATAATTAAAAACTCTCAGCTGCAACAAAGGAAATGCCATGTGGTTAAAGATATTGCTGGCTGATTTAAGAGTGCAGTGTGTTTTGACACCAGAGGGCCTTAAGTGGGAAGAAAGTGCTGATCCTCTTCCTCCCTCGTGTCACCAAAGGGGCCCCCAGTCTCAGGAATGCGACAGGACGGGAAGAGAGGAGAGGGAAACAGGAAATACTTTTGTCTCCCCACTGCACTTCAGAATGGATGTGTCTTTTTGTTTTGGAGTGGGCTTTTGTTTGATAAAAGGAAACTGAATATCAAAATGTCACAATTATGTAAAAGAAAAGATTATAATGACCCAGTTCGGCTAATAGATCAAGGTCGAATAAAACATGTGTTCCAGTTAGAATTACACATAACATAATTACTGCAGGTAAATTGAGTTGGATCAAGACAGATTCAAATAGAATCATAATCTAAACCCATGGGAACTGACAGTAGTGTTATTGTGAATTAAACCTAACCACTCACTATTGTTCCCAGATAAAAACATAGGCATCAAAGGAGATCAAATGTAGAGCATTACCACAATGTGTGTGTGTGTGTGTGTGTGTGTGTGTGTGTGTGTGTGTGTGTGTGTGTGTGTGTGTGTGTGTGTGATAGAGAGCAGGGAGCTTAGCACCATGACTTCATGTCCAGCTGTTCCCGCTGTCACTGCTCAGGAGCAGATGTCTGTATTTCCTCGTAGAAGACACACGGCTGTGGTATTTGCTCCATGAACCTTGCATACACTCACACATTCCCAATTTGTAACAGACCTCTTTTAAGTCCTCAGCAGAAAGCAGAGCGCCCTGAGTAACATTAATATTTATGCGGGAGTGCTGCAAGCGCTTGTCCAATAACGCTCTCTTTTCACCCCTATTTGGTGGTGGAACAAGGGATTAACATCTGAAAGGGTCCGTTCATCAAAAAAACATATCTCTAGGTGTCCAGTGATTCAGATAACTTTAGTTGTATTTGATACGCTACCTAGACTTTTGCTACCAGCATTTAAAAAATTACACATTTAATATAGACAGAAGCAACCTTTACCACAGAATCAGTCCCAAGGTGTGTTGTGGATTATGTAACCAGAGAAATGTTGTCCGAAATAAATGTAGCTATATTCTTTCAATCATTTTCTTATTGTTTTACCTCCACAAATGCACAAAGGACCATAACCAAAAATGTATTGGCTATGCAGTCAAAACCTGAAAAAGCTCTTGCCTCTAACCATAGCTCAATACCTGAAAGCTCCATTTTGCACCAAAACTAATAAAAACACACCAATTAGCCACACTGTTGGACATAGTGACATTTTCCTTCGTTTTAATGAACGGGTTGCATTGTATTTTATTTTGAGTCAGTCCCACACCAACACCCACACACAGTCCTTATGCTGTAAATATTTACTAAAGCCCTGTATTAATCCGCAACTAAAAATAGTTCCCTAACAAAACACAATAGACGTTACGCTGGATTAATGTTTGTTAAATAATACTTTTTTCATAAAGGAAGTTTCAAATATGTGACCTGTTTCTAAAGATTAACGCCTTTAGAAGCAACACATGGGATGCCAGCTTTATCTTTATTGTGTTTCTTTTAGACTCCACCCATCAAATAACCAGCTGATGTGTCCAGTATGTTTACACATAGGTAAACAGACATTCTTTGACAGCCCAATTAACCGTCTGTCTTTCTCTTCCTGTCTCCCTCCCAGGAAGCCTTTGTGGAGCTGTATGACAGACAGAGGGAGTCCCTCTTCAGCTGCTCCTGGCCCTCCATAAAGACGGTGTTCGGCCTGGCAGCGATCGGGGCCGCCAGCCTCACCATCGGAGCGTACCTTACACAGAAGTGAACCCTGTTTCTGCCAGCTTTTGACTTTATTCCTCCTGCTCCTCCTTCTCCTCGTGCCTCTTCTTTTTACTTTGTATAGATGCCCCTGACCCCTCAGAGACAACCATCAGACTCTTCCGAATCTGGCTCTCTTCAAAGGCCTCTCTCTGAAAACTCCCTCTTCCTCGCCCCTCCATGTCAAAACAGACTCAAATCAAAACAACTGAAGGAACCAGATGCACGGCCAATGCAGAGGAAAGGACGTCTTTAAAAGAGGCAGCTTAGATGATATCGCACTAAGCTGAATAAAGCTGAGGAGAAAGGAGGTGGCATCAGTGGCATGCATCTTTTTCTTTCTTTTTCTGCCTGCTTCTGTACTAGTTATAGCATGAATGTTGAGTGTTAGTGTAGACGTTGCATGTGTCAGAGCTCATGCGGGACCTCTATTTGGAGGCCTTGATGAAGATGGGGGTGTCGGGACAATGATGCCCCACACCAGAGAGAACAGGGGCGAAACCCTGCCCCTGCTTGTTAGGGTGAAGAACCCCGTTTGAACTGTGGACTCCAGTTACCCCACCCCTGCAGCCGTCCTTCAAAGGACTTCCTCCGCAGAACAGCTGCTCAGAATGTATAATGGAAACGGATTGCATCTACTGCTTTCTCTCCTCAGACAGCTCCAGTGAACTCTGAACACACTGCACCATTATACTCTCCCTGGCCTTTAATATGTAGAGGACAGGCCAGTGGAAGACTGAGCTCTGCTGAATGATTTGCAGAGATTGAAAGCGCTTCGATTTTTGTGCTGTTTTGAATTTTGCAAGCACGCCAAACCCCCAAAAACGGTGTGAAAAAGAGGAAAATGGAGTGAAAAACATGCCTGTCGTTGCATAAAATTCATATGGTAATGAATATACTGGAAAAAATGTTGAGCACAGCAAAAAACAGTAAGGTAAATCTGATTCTAGGATGGGAGTAGGCATCTGCAACATAAACGGACAAGATTTGAAATGTGCATTCCTTAAGCAAGGCGATGCGAAACCTCTGCTAAAATGACTCCCGTTTAAAGGCACCATCACTGTTAACAGATTTACACGCAGCATCTTTTAAACACTGAGTTATTTTATATTTTCTACCAGTTTCTTACTGTTAACTCTGCCCATTTGTGGTCAGATAGTTTGAGCTCGCCCAGGTTTTTTCAAAGCTGACCCTGTGGACACGTGTCCCCCAGCTGCTGAGGCCCAGCACACACTCGGTACTGCTACAATCCACTGACAACGATGCTTGTTGACGTGGACTGAGAGAACTTCGTCTAACCGCAGATGACTGAGTGGAATACCACGGCAGCAGGGTTTCAGTTTGGGACTGAAGCCAGTGTCCCGAGTGCTGGAACCTGAGCTGTCCCTTCTCCCCGCTCTGCAAAATGCATTCAGTCATTGATTGTTTTTTATCGATGTTTGTCTTGTGTTACAGTCTGATATAAAATTTGGAAACGCTCACAGGCTCCAAAATATTGTATTGTACATAGCAAGTTGGTTTTGGAAGTGTTTTTATTTTCTCCATCATAAAAAAAGTCCTCTATGCATGGATGAAAGATACTGTCTTCACACAATAAATATGTGCAACCATGTCTATAGCAGCATAGGGTAGAAGATAATAAACAACAGCAAAAGAGTTGCATTTTTCTATTTATTGAGAGGTACCCGATCACAGATTTTCTAACAGTACTTTGATGAAAAAAATTAATTGTTTTCACTTTTTTCTATTCTATGGAATCACACTGTAACTACATTTTTTCCTGGCTGCTATAATAACGAGAAAGATGTTTTTCTTTGAATTTTTAAGTGAATTTCAATGTTGTATTAATATCGGCTTAAGGCTGCTATACTGTCAATTTAACTTCTACTTACAGCTTCAACTGCCACAGATTTACAGTATAGTTCTAGAGAGCTGAAAACCAAAGTTAACGTGTATTAATCTGTAATTTAAAAAAAAGTAGCTTATGGAGGATACACTTCACTGTTCAGTGAGGTTTTATGATCTCTCTGTGGAGGGTGTGTCTAGTGTTACTGTACTATATCAGCTTAACCCTTGTCAGCTTTGTGCTCAGATGATAACTCAGTGCTTATCTGTAAAATGTTGACCTGCCAGACTCAAACCATGTCTCGGATGTCACTATAAACAACCCCATCGTCATTACAGCAGCTCACAGTGTGTGATATTCCCAGTGATGTGTGTGTGTAACAGAGAAGAAGGTGATTTATGAGCAGGAGTAGTAACAGCAATATACTGTCATTTTTATATTCTCTGTACATATATGAATGTAGGCGCAATGGTTGCTGTACTGTTTTATGTCTATAATCACAAACCTGTAGCACTTAAAAAAAAAGTGAATTGTGTTTCTGTTGTTTACTGCTATATCCACGATAAGCTAGCGGGATCATATTGTTCCTAATAAACCAGATTTCTCAAGCAGCTGCAGTCCAAGTTCATGTTGTGTCTGCTTTTTTATCGATTCTCAGCCTCGTCTCAGCAAGACAATAAGAGACGTTTTAGATGGAGCGATGTACCAACAGTGCTCTTTAGATGATCTGTTATCTATCCACAGATGTGAACTGTATTTGTAAGTCTGGTTGTGTCAACGTGACAGTCTCCTTGAAGGACTGTGTAGGCGCAGCAGCCGCACCCAACCAGACATCAAAGCTGTCCCCAAACACTGCACTTGTCAGCCTCCCTCTTCTGCTCCATGCGCTGCTAAACACGAGTGCAAAAACCCCAAATGCCCCGAGGCCAGATTTTTTTTTAACACCCCCTGCCTCTGTTCTGATCACACTTGTCTTCAAAGGCTAAGGCACTCTTGCTTCTCAGTGGAATTTCTTAAAAGCATGATGCAGTAAAACTAATGTTGAAAGAGTTGGGGGTGTGTGGGTGCGAGAAAATGAGGGAAGAGGAGTGAAAGAAGGTGGTGGTGGTGTGTGTGGATTTATCCCTGAGAGACCAACAGTGTAGGGAAGTTCATTTGGGCTGGAGCCCCCTCGCAATCCCTCCTCTCTCTCCCACTTGCATGCATATAAAATGCATGACACGCTCTGAAGAGGAATTTTAAATTAAGCCCCAGACGTTCAAAAGAGAGTCCAGTGTCGGTGAGGATGGTGAATGTGTGTGTGTAAAGGAGAAGATGGGCAGTGAGGAGAGGGGAGGGGGGAGGATAGTGAAGCCCTCCTGCCTCTTCTGCTTTAGGGCTACAAGGTGTAGAGGAGCCTTCCCTAGCTCTGGGTATCACAGGGGAGATTGGGAGATCAAAGAAGATTGTCTGGAGTTAGTCTGGTCCAGTTTTACCCTTCATTTGGAAGTCCATCAGATCCACTCACAGTACCCCTGCCTCATTTAGAGGCAACCTTTCACCACATTAAAAACTTCCTGCTGAAATCTAACAATTTCCTTCAAACGATAATTTTTTTTAAAAGCACCACTCGAGAATAATTCATCTCTTTTTGGAATGTAAATATTCAATGAGAAGGAGTGACTTACTATGTAGCCTCGCACTGTATGCACTGTGCTGCAGTGTCACCTTGTGGCTGCTGCACAAACACTACAGCAGGGTTTAATAGTCTCTGCAGATTTGTATCTCATATGCACAAACCCGATTTTAAATTTAGAGGATGATGAACCATCAGCTGCTGCAGAGTTGAGCTAAAAAAAGACTATTCTCTGGCACATGGTTGTACATCCCTGCCCTGAAATATCCTCAGGGCATCATGCCGTGAAGAGAAAAGGCTCCAGGCTGAAGGCTCATCTGCTTTTGGGATGACTGCTCATCCGTCTGTGGTTAGTGAGTCTTCTTAGAAACGTGTAATGAAGAAAATCTGTGAGACAAGCATCTGAATCTCACAGAATATGGTAATCTGCAGGAAAGGCATGGGAAGCCTGTGGTGAAACTACTAACTACAAATCATGACGGTCATCAGCAGAAACCTAAGGAGTCCATCATTTCAAAGTTTTAAAAAATGATGTTCTCCAAAATGACCTACCCCACCTTTAATGTTTAAACGGTTATAGTAGCCTACGTAGGAGTAGTTCAAATACTATAACACCGTTTTTTTTTGTCAAGCAAAATAAAATGCAACACTGTTACTTCAAATTCTTTTGGCTTAGTCATTGTGTATTTGGCCTTCAGAGAACCAACATATTTGTGTAATATATTTTATAAGCCACACATTCGCCCAGTTAATACATTGTTTGAGTAGGCCTACATATTTTTAAAACAACCTCATATTCCTGCTTTTTATGCTTCTCTGTCGATTAATCTTTGGTCTATAAAAAGGTCAGAAAAGTGGCATCTCCCAATATCTTGTTTGACCACAAGTCTCTCTTTTAAATCAAGTTGCTGCCACCAAACCATTCAAAGTGACTGAAACTTTTAAATTTTATTAATTGATTAAACCTATTATATCTATATTTGAATAATATAGTGTAGGACCATACCTATATATGGCATATTTATACTTTTTATTTTTCAAAATACCAAACAGATCATGAATTTTAGCCATTCCTCATTTCGCTCAATTTAACACTGTCTTTGCATGGGCTGATTCTGTGAGAACAGCACCATCTACAGGCCTGGCATATGTACTACAGCGTCTCCAGCGCTTTCGAACGGCAATGTCCGTGGCTGTCTCCTCCTGATTGGTGGAGTTGGCCCAATAGCCGTAGCGCCACTTTTGCGACGTCATAGAAGTGTTCAAATCTGGATCAGTCTGTATCAGATCCGTTGCAGCCCCTTTTTAAGAGATTTGGGTATGGAGGAAAATGGAGAGGGTTCTGTTTTCTGACACTTGGTGAGTTCCCTGGAACACCGGGGACACATATTCATGTATAAAAGACGTACAAAAGTGCATTTTGCAGGATAGGTCACCTTTAGATTTAGTTTGAATTAACCAATGGAGCCATCACAGACAGCGTTTTCACCATAGTTAAATGTTATCAAAATATTGTTAAAAGCCATCCCGTGTATGATGAAGGCAGATTTGAGACTTTGATAGTGTTATGTCAGACACATAATTTAGGAAACATTTGACCATGGAAACACATCCTTGAACCAGTTAAAACCAAAGTCAAATAACAACTTAGAAAGACAGCTTTGAAGTACATTCAGTGTCCATTTATTTTTCTGCGGTCAGAAAAATAGAAAAGTAAAACAAAGGACATTCATACTGCTGAAGTGTAGTTTCTCATGCTTGCACATATACAGTACATGTGGATCTCATACAAAGTCTCTTTGAACCAGACATATTGCCACAATATATTTACAAAAATAACATTAAAACTGCAGTCTCTTTAAACATGTTGATACATTCATAAAAATAAAGCTTTATGTGACACGTTTCCCGAAAACTATTTACAGTCAAAGATGGAGATGAGTCCTGTCGAGCTACAGCTGAAACCACCAAGTTGTTTTGCACGTCTGCGAATATCAGATTCTCTGAAGCGTCAAAATAACTGAAAGTAAATGTAAAAAAAGTTTTTTAACATCTTAAAAAGATATTTCTCATTCTTGTAAAAACATTCCTAAAATGCATCCATCAGTTGCAATGGCTTTAAATAACTACTGAAGTAAAACAAGTGAAACTCACTCATAGCTCTCAATTAATTAATAATTATATTAATGTAATGGTGTGTTAAGATGTTAATATCAGGATTATTTTTTAGAATGAGATCCATTTAAAGAGATGATTGACCCTTCAGACATGGTTTAAAAATCACAGAAATGCAGCCAAGGACAATCTTTTTTGTATGAGAAGTAGAAGGTTTCCAACTACTTTAATATTACATATTTATATCTTTAAAAAAATAACATTAATTGCACTTATTTAACATAAGCAAAGTTACATCAATACTTTCAGTTTTAAGTTGTGTGTGGGCAGGGCAACCAAAGGCACAAATAAAGATTTGGCATTAATCTCTCCATATTAGCACTGGCAATCATTGATTTGAACAACACATGGCCATTTTGTAAGTGTAGTTTTGCTACTAAACAATAAATTGCATGAATGTCCACCTTTTTACACAAAAAAACTGAGAAGTTGTCCAAGATGTGTTGACTTATAGTATCAAAATGTGACTACAAATCAACTGATAACAGCAGCATGATTGTAGCTAAATAACACAAAACACTGAAGCCCTATTCATAAGAACCCGTCACGACTTTGCCACCTTTTTCTTGGCAGGTGACCATAACGCGTCTCTATGTGTGTGTATCTCGGTGTATAAATACAGTATACTGTGTGTGCGCATCTGATCAGTGTTCAAACAATCCAAAAAAACAAAAAACACTCCGAAAATCAATCCTCCGTGCAGGAACTCCACTTCATTCAGCTGTCTAGCTCTTTGGTTTCCGAGCCTCTATAGTGCATCGTAGCAGGCGGCTCTGGGACCTTTACACCGCTCAGCCTCTCGCTCCATTCCTCAAAATTCAAACGTCTCCACTCCAGCTGGTGCCTCGTCCCTCTCACTCAGTCAGGGTCTCCTCCTTACAGGCATCTGCAGAGAGGAAGAGTAAAGAGTAAGGACACGATGCACACACACTGTAGCATAAAACTGAATTACTGTTATTTTTTCATCAATTCTCAACCTCAATGTCGGCTTGATTTCAGTCAGACAT